AGGATCTCTGCCTGTCTACCTGTGCAGTGCTGAGGTCACGAGTGAGTCCAGGTGGGGCTCTGCATTCAGAGGTCAGGGCTGAGGGTCGGTGGAGGGGCCCTGGGCTGAAGCCTTGGTGACCTTCAGTGGCTGCAGTGCACACTTAGGGCTGGGAGAGTTTGGCCGTCGGGAGGCCGCCAAGAGAGGGATGTCTTGATTTAGACTTAGATTTAGCTGATCCTCTGCCAGCAGATACCGGCATCCCATGTAGGCGCCGGTTCCGGTCCCAGCTCCTTCCGCCTCGGTGAGGGAGTGGGCAGTATGAACTCTTCCAGACCTGGACGGAAGCAGCCAGATGCTGACGTGCTGCTTGTTGCTCCTGGACAGTTCTGAGACCACCTCTCAGGCGTTTTGATTGGGGTGACGGGGTGGAGTCTAGTTGAGTGGGGCGCGGTACCATGCCCTTGCCTGCAGCTGTGTCCCTGCCAGGCAGGGCGCTGAGCACCTCTGCCCATGTGCCCGGGCTCCCACGGGCATGCGAGGTGGTTGGAACTGGCAGCAGGTTGGAGCTGGGCCTCAAGCTGCACAGGGCAGGGCCTGTTCCCCTGGGCCTCCCTCTGAAGACGTGCTGCGTGAACAGGCACTCAAAGGCCTGAACTGCACTGGGAGAGGAACCAAGTCCAGCTACGCCTGCGGGGCTAGGCAGCCTGGAGACGGCGGGCGTCTTTCTGGGCCCGGAGACCTCACTGGCCCGGGAAGCTCAGGATCACTGGCCACCTCTCTGCCGGCGAGCAGTGGACATGGGCCCCGTCGAGTCTTTCATGCACTGCACCTTTTTTCTTTTTGTAAGATTTATTTATTTTTATTGCAAAGTCAGATATACATACAGGAGGAGAGACAGAGAGGAAGATCTTTCATCCGATGAGTCACTCCCCAAGTGGCCACAAAGGCCGGTGCTGTGTCGATCCAAAGCCAGGAGCCAGGAACTTCGTCCGGGTCTCCCATGTGGGTGCAGGGTCCCAAGGCTTTGGGCCGTCCTCGACTGCTTTCCCAGATCACAAGCAGGGAGCTGGATGGGAAGTGAAGCTGCCGGGATTAGAACTGGCGCCCATATGGGATGCTGGCGTGTTCAAGGCAAGGACCTTAGCTGCTAGGCTAGCGTGCTGGGCCCTTGGTACAGCTTTTGAGGAGCACTCCCAGCACAATGCTCAATGGCAGAGTAACGTGGCTACTTCTCACCCCGGCAAAAGCAGCAGTGTGTCTCCGTGCTGAGATGTCCTGTGCCGACTGCAGCCCGTGTCCCCATGCTGGGATGTGCTGTGCCGACCACAGCCCGTGTCCCCGTGCTGGGATGTGCTGTGCTGACCGCAGCCCGTGTCCCCGTGCTGGGATGCCCCGTGCCGACCGCCCTGGAGCCATTATCCTTAGCATTTTGATTTTGAATCAAAGCCTATCATGGCATGGTGACATTTAATTTAGTATTTCTCATTTCAGAACCTTTCAGGATATCAGTTAATTCCCACAAAGCCCTGGGAGGCGTGTGAGTCATGTCTGTGGCGCCCTTCACGTCACTCAGCTAGTGTGCCCTGGCCCCGCCAGGAGGCGACAAAGTGAGGCAGAGTCGACCCGGTCCCCTCTGTTCTGAGTCGCCTGGACCCTGCGGGCACCGTGCCCTGGGGGAGCCGTGACTGCCGAGTAGGGGACACCAACTGTCCAGATGCCATCGGGCCGAGGGGAGTGGCACGTGCAGGTTGCCCCTTCTTGTTTCCTGGACACCCTGCCTTTGCATCACCTCCTGCTTCATATCCATGTGAGATTTCAGGGTCTTAAGAGAGTGTAGTGTGGCCGTGCAGAAGCTGGAAGGTTCCTGGGCGCCCCAGGCCGAGTTCTGCACGCGTTTGTTTCTGGTTGTGGCTGCAGGGGCACAGGTGGTCTGCCCACGCTTGGCGAGAAGCAGGCACCCTCCATTCCGACCTGTCCCGTCTGCCCCCCAGTACCCGCCTGCCCCTGTGGGGCTCACCGCAGAGCTGTGTCCACAGTGGTGGCTGCCGTCTTGGTCATCAAGCCAGTGGAGAGTGGGCGTGAGTGAGTCGGCCTTGCTCACTGTGGGGCTTCCTGGTGTCATCACTAACCGGAAGTCCTTGGTTCATATGCAAAGGTTACTTGCTCTTCCTGTTGTCTGAGGGAAGCCCTGGCGCCTAGGCCAGTGGCTGCCTGACACCTGACCAGAGAGGTGGATTTGGGCGAGAGCTCTGCCGGGCGCTTGTTGCTGTCCACCGTGTGCCGCACAGCATGGCCTGGCCTCCCCGAGTCTTCCCTGCATGCCCTGTTCTGGCCAGCTCCGTGGTGGAAATCCAGGGGTATCCCCACAGCCCAAGGCAGAGAGCCCTCCCACCCGACGTGTCCAACTTTAATTGAGCTAAGTTCTGAGGCAGCATCTCTACCCCACCGTGCTGGCACTCTGGCTGTGGACAAAGTCTGGCATGGTGCTGTCTGGGGCTGGGGGGTTTGTAGCACCGGGCAGGAAGCACCCCAGGGCGCCCGGGCCCCCTCCAGTGTGGTCTCCCTGCTGCTCTGGGAGGGAGCCACGTGCTTGCAGAAGACGCCAACGCAGGCCCCGAGCCCTCCCAGCCCCGACACTCTGAGAGTCCTTCTGCGTCTTGGCTGTCTACGCCTCTGCCACGGGCCAGCTGCTCCCCTCAGCCCTGAGCCTGGCAGGTGCCCTCTGAATGCCTCTGTCCTCCCTGCCTGCTCAGCCGTGATGCAGGCGGAAAGCACTGGCATTAAAAATGCATAGGTATTTCCTCTAACTGACGTAAAGGCCTCACAGAGTGGCATGGGTGTGCTGCTGAGCTTGGCCATCTCGGCAGCTGTGTGCGTCCTTGCAGGCCGCGGCACGTGACGGACCAGGGGTTGGCCTGGAGGGGTGGTTTAGCTGGACCCCCTGTGATGCTGGGGGGTGCATGGTCTCAGGGACAGACTGCACACTTAGTGCCTTCAGGCACCGACGTTTCATATGTGCAGTGTCATGTTGGTGTTTAGTTACCATCTAGCTCGTCTCAGTTGCGAGTAGCTGAGTTGGTTTACAGTTGCAGAGGGCCTAAGCATGCTGCCTTATGGTGGTAGGGCAGCCTCTGTGACACACACTGTGCCCTTCGGATCGGGACAGCTGCGTGTAGACATAGTTCCAAGGAGAGAATGGTTTCCTGCAGAAGATCCTGAGTGTGGAACAAGCCCTTGCAGCACCCGGGGCTCGACGAGCCCCACGGGCCCGGGCGGCCATCCTTCGATGCCTATCTTGAGGGAGCAGGTGCCAGGGCTGCCTCCCCAGCAGGCCTCAGTGCCCTGCCCTCAGTCTCCCTGGGGACCATCCTGTCCCACACGTGTCCCACAGCCTCTTGATGGAGATGGACTTGGGAACTTTGCGTGTGTTGTTCTGAATCTGAGAAGGGACCCTGCACCCGGCAGGGTCCCCAGTAGTCCTGCTGGAGCTGGGTCCTTAGCATTGTTCGCTGGTTGGCAGCAGCGCATTGGTAGTTACTGAGAATTCACTAGCTGGGGAATTTACCTGAGGAAGATGGGCCTGGGACGCTGCTGAGTCAGCCTCCCCACGCAAGAGCAGCCGTCCACCTTCCCGAGTCCGCCATGCCCTGCTGCCTGGGCAGCTTGTTCCAGTGCCCTTGTCTTTGGGCCCGATGTCCTCTGCTTGTCCTTCTCACACAGGGTCACCGAAGGCTCTCATGGCACACTGAGCTCGCACTCAGCCCAGGGTATGGGCAGGGAACTGGGCTGCGGCCCGGCCTGGGGGGAGAGTCAGCTAGGGCCGCTGGTCCCGCAGGCTTTCCTGTGAGCAGAGGTTTGTTTTGTTTTGTTTTGTTTTGTTTTGTTTTGTTTTGTTTTGTTTTGTTTTGTCTTGTCTTTTTCCCCATGTTCCATAGGTTTTCAAAAGAACTCGATCTGTGCTACTAAGAAACTTTTTTTTAGGAAGTCTATTATTACTATTTTTCTGTTTCATTTCATTTGAGAGATGGATCTGATCCATTGGCTCATTCCCTGAGTGCTTGCAATGCCAGGACTGGGTGAGGCTGGCATCGGGCACCTGCTGTCTGCCAGGGGCCCTGCACAGCTCTGTCCCCGTGAGGGCTCGTGTGTCCGTGTGTCCGCCAGAGGACGCTGCACAGAGGAGCAAGCCGGGCTGTGGCCCCGAGGGCTCCCTGTGGGGTGTGGCTGTCCCCAAGGGCTCCCTGTGGGGTGTGGCTGTCCCCAAGGGCTCCCTGTGGGGTGTGGCTGTCTGAGAGGTGGCTGCTGCTGCTGCTTTTGGTTTCCTGGAAAATGTGCATTTTAGCAACTTACAAGGCACAGTGATGGAGAGGGAAAGAGGGCTCAGTCTTTCTTCTGCTAACTCACGCCCCAAGGGCCCCGGCTCTGGGCTGACGTAAGCAGGAAGTTGATCAAAGACCCGAAGAAGTGTGTGTGTGTCTCAGAGTGCTCACCTCTGCCGTGACACCTGTCCCAGGAGGCGTCTTGACCCAGGAAATGCCATGAGGCTGACTCTGACCTGGCGAAGGCCTTCCTTGGCCATTTGGCCTTTGTGGGGGTTAGCATTTGTTCACGAAGGAGAGTGTATTTCTATGCTTCCTGTGAGACTGTCCTCACCCTCTGCTGGGAGCCCGGCTCTGGCTGTGGGCCTGGGGGCTGGGAGGGCAGATCTGCTGTCCGCTGCGGGCCTACGTGTCAGGAGTCCAGGACAGCTAGGCTGTGGCTGTGGGCGTGGGGAGGGGATGGGGTGGGCAGGGGGCTGGTCTGCTGTCCACTGTGGGCCTGGGGGGGTCAGGGCTGCTAGCTGTGAGCCCCGGGGCGGGGATGGGGTGGACAGGGGGCTGGTCTGCTGTCTGCTGTGGGCCTGGGGGGGGGGTGAGGGCTGCTAGCTGTGAGCCCCGGGGCGGGGATGGGGTGGGCAGGGGCAAGTGTGCTCTTCCCCGGAGCCCATGGTCAGCCCATGCTGTGTCCTCTCGCCGCAGGCCCGCTACAAGCAGAGCCTCGACCCGACTGTGGACGAGGTGAAGAAGCTGTGCACGTCTCTGCGCCGGAATGCCAAGGAGGAGCGGGTCCTCTTCCACTACAACGGCCACGGGGTGCCCCGGCCCACGGTCAACGGCGAGGTCTGGGTCTTCAACAAGGTGGGCTGCCAGTCAGTCGGGAGTGTCACTGCAAGTCTGTCCTGCAGCTTCCGCAGGCCTTGGTGTCTTAGCACCTCTGATGGGGTTCAGAGGGTCTGCTGGGACCCTGGCCAAGGCCTGGAACTCCAGGATGAGCGTCCGGAGGTCCTTGGACATGTGGAGGAATGGGCGCAGACGGGTCAGACACAGGCCGGCTCACACGCGTAACATTCATGTAGAACACGAAAAGCCAGTGTCTTCCTCTTGGGTAGGTTTCCTTCTTGCCGCCAGTGGCTTCTTAGCCACATACTTGGAGTGCTCTGAGAGCGCAGGGAGTGAGGCCCTGACACAGGAGGAGTGAGGCCCTGACACAGGAGGGAGTGAGCTGACACAGGAGGGAGTGAGGCCCTGACACAGGAGGGAGTGAGGCCCTGACACACCAGGGAGTGAGGCCCTGACACAGCAGGGAGTGAGGCCCTGACACACCAGGGAGTGAGGCCCTGACACAGCAGGGAGTGAGGCCCTGACACAGGAGGCAGTGAGGCCCTGACACAGCAGGAGTGAGGCCCTGACACAGGAGGGAGTGAGCTGACACAGCAGGGAACTCTGGGTTACCTGAGGACAGCTCCCTCAGGACACAGCCTTTGCTCGTACGTGTGTATCTGCGTGGCTGCCCTACACTGATTGTGTTTGAATGACTCAGCGCTGCACTGATTTACAGAAGTGTAGCAAGTGGGTGTCCCCGGTCCAGCTCAGATTCTGACTGAGTGTCTTCTGTTGCGCCCCCACAGTCTAGTTTCATTCCTTCGCGTTTCTCCATGGGTTGAAGTCAGACAGGATCAGAATAGCAAGATGGAACTTTGTGCTGCTCCTGCTGGACACATTTGAAATAAAGGTGCAGGTGGAGACCGGAAACAGGAGAGGAAAGTTGTGTCATCCGGATGGCCGTGGCCATCGATGCTGGTGGTATATTAGAACAAAACGAAGCCCAGCACGCGGACTGCAGAGGCGTGTGTGCAGCCGTGGGCAAGGAGGCCGTGGGCAAGGAGGCCGTGGGCAAGGAGGCCGTGGGCAAGGAGGCCGTGGGCAAGGAGGCCGCGGCCCGCGCTCGGCAGAGCACATGTGTGCCTAGTTGGAACCATGGGGTTCCATGTCTCAACAGTTCGGAAATTAAAGCCGATATTCCAAATGCAAGCTTAGAACTTCCTCGGGCCCGGCACGATAGAGTAGTGGTTAAAATCCTTGCCTTGAATGCCCCAGGATCCCATGTGGGCGCCAGTTGTAATCCCGGCAGCTCCACTTCCCATCCAGCTCCCTGCTTGTGGCCTGGGAAAGCAGTCGAGGATGGCCCAAGGCCTTGGGACCCTGCACCCGCGTGGGAGACCCGGAAGAGGTTCCTGGCTTTGGCTTCGGATTGCCTTAGCTCCAGCCATTGCGGTTACTTGGGAAGTGAACCATCAGATGGAAGATCTTCCTCTCTCTCTCCTCCTCTGTATGTCCGCCTTTCCAATAAAAAATAAGTACATCTTAAAAAAAAAAAAAAAACTTGCTCGCAGGGCAGGCGTTCTGAGGCACCCAGGTTCCATACTCAAGCCCAAAGGTGGCAGTGGGGCTGGTTCAGGTGCTCAGGCCTCTGCCATCTGTGTGCCGGCTTTGCAGTGGAGCTCTGGCTTGTCTTCCCAGCATGGCAGGCCTTTTGGGGAGAGAAGCAGCTTCCCCTGTGCCTCTCAGCTTAGCACACATGTGCCTGCACACACACACAGAGCACACACGTGCGAATATACACACCTATAAACACACCCCAGCAGACACATGCGTACACGCCCCCAGCACACACGTGCACACACCCAGCAACATACCAGCACACATGTGCGCCCACTCAGCAACATGCCAGCACACACGTGCACACACCCAGCAACATACCAGCACATACCCCAGCACACATGTGTACACAACCAAACCCAGCCCATACATGTGTACACATACCACAGCACACATGTGTGCACACACAGCCCGCAGCTTTCCCACGTGAGAACTCTGGGCATTGCATGTTTGCTTGTAGCTGAGAGAAGCCATGGCTCATTAAAAAGCCACAGTGACGCCGTCGGTCACCTGAATGCACATTTGTAGAACAAAGTGCCCAGCAGGTGTCAGCGCACGTTCTCCTGTGCACGTGGGGTCTCCCCAGGCCTTGGGCCCTGAAGACGCCTCCGAGTTCATGCAAGGCCGGAGCTCACAATGTATTTTCTCTGAACATGAAATTTGAAGCTGTGAGATGCCGGAAGAAGCCTCAGCACGTGAAATAACACTTGAATCAAAGAGGAAATCATAAGGGGGGAAAATTCAAAGTAAATGAATATGAAAGTGTGGTTTGTCAAAGTTTGTAGGATATAGCCAAGGCATTACTGATATGGAAATGTGTAGTTTTAATTTCTTGTCTAAAATGAATGAAAGCTTTAAAATAAAAATTTTCTTTTTTTAAATTCTTATTTTTAATTTAAAGATTATTTATATGAAAGGCACATTTTTAAAAAAAGATTTATTTTTTATTTTTATTGGAAAGGCGGATATACAGAGAGGAGAGACAGAGAGGAAGATCTTCCGTCCGATGATTCACTCCCCAAGTGAGCGCAACGGCCAATGCTGTGCCGATCCGAAGCCAGGAGCCTCTTCCGGGTCTCCCATGCGGGTGCAGGGTCCCAAAGCTTTGGGCCGTCCTCCACTGCTTTTCCAAGCCACAGGCAGGGAGCTGGATGGGAAGAGGGGCTGCTGGGATTAGAACCGGCGCCCATATGGGATCCCAGGCATGCAAGGCGAGGACCTTAACCACTTGCGCCATCGCACCGGGCCCATGAAAGACACATTTGCAAAGAGAGAAAGAGATACCTTCCTGCAAGTGTGACAAGCCAGGCTTTTTTTTTTTTTTTTTTTTAAGATTTACTTTTATTTTTATTGGAAAGTCAGATATACAGAGAGGAAGATCTTCCATCCATTGATTCACTCCCCAAGCAGCCGCAACGGCCAGATCTGAGCCGATCCAAAGCCGGGAGCAAGGAGCTCTTCTGGGTCTCCCACGCAGGTGCAGGGTCCCAAGGCCTTGGGCTGTCCTCGACTGCTTTCCCAGGCCACAGGCAGGGAGCTGGATGGGAAAAGGACCACCAGGATACGAACCAGCACCCTCATGGCATCCTGGCATATACAGTGTGAGGACTTTAGCCACAAGGCTACCGCGCTGGGCCTAATGCAGGCTTTTAGCCCTTGGGAGGCCTGTTGGCCGCTGCCTTCTCAACTCCTGTGCGCGTGTCCTGATCACGTGTGTGACACACTGTCTTGGCCTCCAGGCCGTTTACGTTCCTCCCCAAGCTGCCCACAGATGTGCCATCTGGGGAGCCTGGCAGCAGGCCGTGTATGTGTGAGCTGCGGATCCTGGGTTCTTGCTGCAGGCTGACAGTTCTGTCCCAGAAATGAGTTGGAGGCAGGCTCTTAGCTGCCCAGGAGCCTGCTCCCCAGCCGTGCCAGCACACGCGGAAGAGGAGAGCAGCATGGCAGAGCGACTGGCGTGAAAAACTGCCCAGTCAGCTAATGGGCCTTGGTGCGGGGGGCGCTGTCAGGAGCTCTCCTTCTCAGGGGTTTTGTTTGTTTTTCTGTCTTCTCAAGGTTGAACACTTTCTTCCGAGGGTTGTAAAGGGCCTCTGTTAGCCTGGGCTGCCAGGGCAAACTTGAGAGCTGAGTGCTAATGTGTGGAGAAGGGGCGGGTCGGCCCCCTGCAAGCCAGCTGCCAGGCACCGTGAGAGGAAACGGTGACAGCGTTAGTTAGCTTGCACCATGCCACGGCCAGGTGTTTGCAAGCAAGCGTTTAGATTGGCTGGCGTGGGGCTTCTCTCTGCGTTGAGCACACCGTGTGTTGAATGAGAGCCCTGGTATTCCGGGCCACTTGCTAAGTTTCATGGCATTTTGGTTTAATTGTACGTAGCTCTAGATATAGGTGTCATTTCCTCACTGCTGAGAGATAGCAAGCCTTTGTCTACCCCTTCGCTGATTTGTCAGATGTTGGAGTCACTGCTGCCTGGCCCGGTGCACATGCCAGGCTGTGGTGCTCGGTGTGCCATGGCTGTGAGCTCCGAGGTGGGCAAGCAGGCCGGAACCGTCACTGTCCTGTGCCAGGCTGAGCCCTACGCAGCCAGAAGCCCCAGAGGAGGCCTGGAGGCTATTCCTGCTCTACTGGTACAAACGAGCCGAGTGGCCATGCTGCAGTCCCCTCCTCAGTGCCTTGTCCTCCTGGGGTGGGTGACCCCTGCTAGGTGGCGTACTTCTGCCGAGTGGCCCTGTCACAAAGGAAGAAAGAAGAGCTGGGACCAAGGTCATGCAGGCTCTGCTTTCATGGGCTTGTCTTCCACAACTTCCTTTTTTTCTTTTTTTAAAGATTTATTTATTTTTATTACAAAGTCAGATATACAGAGAGGAGGAGAGACAGAGAGGAAGATCTTCCATCTGATGATTCACTCCCCAAGTGACCGCAACAGCTGATGCTGTGCCAATCCAAAGCCAGGAGCCAAGAGCTCTTCCAGGTCTCCCACGCGGGTGCAGGGTTCCAAAGCTTTGAGCCGTCCTCCACTGCTTTCCCAGGCCACAGGCAGGGAGCTGGATGGGAAGTGGAGCTGCTGGCATTACAACTGGCGCCCATATGGGATGCTGGCGCGTTCAAGGCGAGGACTTTAGCTGCTAGGCCACCGCACCGGGCCCCACAACTTCCTTTTTTAAACTGAATTTTCTTGAACACCTCCTGTATTGTCTACTCTTTGGATCTATTGCATTTTCTAGAAACAGGTATGTCGGTGGTGTGTCATAAACCGCGTAATAACTGCTGGCTAAGGGTTGCCAGGTCTTGCTTTGGCACTGGCGATGCTGGTGTTTGCACGCATCCGAGTGTGGCTGGCCTGTCGCACATTTCCTGAAAGTGGAATCAGTTGGTGCCTGACCCCTCTACAACATGCTGTCCCATCTCCTCCAGCAGAGAAGGC